CAGACACTTTGAAATTGCTGAACACCATAAACAAGACCACCAAGGCCAGCTGAGCCAAGTCTAGCAATTCCCTCCACCCTCAGTGACAGCAAACAGGCGTGGCCGGGCCTCTCTGGGGAGAAGGCCGCAGACCCGGTTCCCGGCAGTCCAGGGTGTGCATGTGTTACCGCCAGCAGCAGGGGCCTCCCAGCGGTGCACACGGGGGCTGGCGGGGGAGCAGCAGGGAGACCAAGCAGACCAGTTCTGCTGGAGTCCGCCTGGGGCTGCACCTAAACCTGAACAACCATCTGGACCAGCCGAGCCCCTGACCTCTGTCCTAGAGCCCACTTCCTGGGAGAGATGAGCAAAACCAAGCTCGCGGAGCCTGCCCGGGACAGCGTCAAACTCCCATACCCTGAGTGTGCCGCCGGATCCTCCCTGGTGACCTGCGGGAAACCCTTCTCCTGGCGCTCCCTGCGGCCTCCTGCACGGGGACGGCACCTCCTGCAGCTGGTCACAGCAGAGAGGCCGAAGGGAGAGGACGTGCGCCCCACACATGGCCAGCGCCGCTCCACTCCCTGCCGCGGGCCTCTGTCACTCACCACGGCGCCCTGACGTGTGGGTTCACCGCTGAGTGCTAGACGCCTGTGACCGGCATCCTCGGGACCCGCATCCTCGGGACCTGCTGGGAGCAGCCTAGTCTACACCGCCCCAGCCTCCCACTTCAGCCAGGGCGTCCAGCTCGAACCCAGGTTCTGCCGAGCAAGAGCTGGCGCCCGCTGAGTCCTGTCCCTGCTCAGAACTGTACTCTGCAAGGGAGAGGTCATCTCAGGGCGACCTGCAGGGCGCGAGGGATGACGGCCGTGACCCGGGAGCCCGTGCTGGCTCCTGGGAGACTCACAGGCGGGGTGCCGACCCCACGCCCACGTGCCCGTTCCCTTTCCGTGTTCCTCTGCGTGTCACAGCTGTGAGACGGCCCTCGGCCCTGGACTTCCTGGCCTCCAGAGCTGTGGAAACCAATCTCTGTCCTTTATAAATTTTCCCAGCCTCAGGTGTTCTGTTATGGCAGCACAAGACAGTGACAGCCAGGCATGGTGGCACCGGCCTGCAATGCCAGCACTTGGGAGGCTGAGGCAGGGGGATCCCAGCTACCCTGACCTATATAGCAAGACCCTGTCTCAAAAAAAAACAAAAAAAAAAGGAAGGAGAGGAGGAGCAGCCTTGTGTAAGTTGCTTTCTGCCACTTCAGCCTCTGGAGTAATCAGCTCCAGGAAAGGGTTACCGTGGCTCAGTGTCAGAGGTGTTTGCTGCGGCCCTCGGGGTTGACTGTGTGGCCCGTGTGCCTCAGCGCACAGGTCCCCGGGTCCTCCCGGCCGCCTGGGATGTCTCCCTGTGCTGGCCTCGGGCTGGGGTCCCTCTGGGATTGTGTGGCTGCAGCGGAGGTGGCTGGGAGGAGCCATCACCTCGGGGAGGAAGGGCGGGAGGCTGAGGCGGGTGTGTCCCTCCCAGCGGCATTTCCTCCCGGCTGGGAACAGACCAGCCGCCCAGGGTGAGGTCAGTTTCCAAGCAAGGTGCTTTGCATAAAGAAACAAAACCCTGCCTCCCTGTGGGTAGCTTGGGCCCCGTGCTGGCCGAGGGGCGTCAGGGCCCCGGAGTGAGGAGGCCGCTCTTCTCCGATCCTGCGCAGCTCTGGGGGGCCTGGGGGGCCTGGGGGGCCCCGGACCAGCCTGTGTGTGGCGCTGCCCAGTTCTGCTCTGGGCCCGACCCTGTTTGCTTCTGTGTAGCAGCTTCCCCCACAGTACAGAGACGTGAGACGCGGCAGGCGTTCTGGTGAAACTCAGCAGTGGGTGGTTTTGCAGACTCGATCCACAGCTTTGGCTTGTTCCCTTTTCAACGACTATCTCACCGAGGCAGCAGGAATCCAGCAGTGAGGAGAAACAGCTTCCCCAGCAGCTCCGGCCGAGGGAGAAATGAGTGAACGAACCCCCAAGGCACTCCCCCGGCCAGCCACGCAGAGGTCACCGAAGGCAGAGCGGGGCTGTGCGCGCCGGCTGAGGCCTGGGGGTCTGGGAGCTACTTCCCCATGGCAACCGTCCTCTCGCCCTGTTCCGAGCTAGGTAGATGTCACACTGACCAGGCCGAGCGCCCCCGGGACACCCACTCAGTGAGGGAAACAGGGCACTGAGGGAGCCCCCTGCAGACAGCCGCGAGGCAGGTCGGGGACGGATTCCCAGGGGCAGCAAAGGAGCCAGGCAGCGTGTCCCGAGCTCTTCGCCCCAGGAAGCCCACCGTGGGGAGCAGCCTGAGGAGAACACAGGAACTTGTAACAGCAAAATGGTTAAAAGGGGAGGCAGGCTCGTGTGCGACAAAAGGGACCCATTTTCATACATGGAAGACGGGACTCCATGTGAATACATGGGACATTGTGTATGCAGATGGAACACACAGGAATATGTACGTGGATATGAAGAGCAGGGCACCCATTAAAAAGGAAAGAGGGGTCACCAGGTGTTGAGGCGCACACCCGTAACTCCAGCAGTCGGGAGGCTGAGGCAGGAGGATCATCCCAAGTTCAAGGGCAGTGTGAACTATGTAGAGAGACCTTGTATTGAAAACTAAAAAAAAAAAAAAAACCAGAGGGCAACTTTTAAATTTTGCTACAAATCTAGTTTCAATCTCTCTCCCTTTTTTTTTTTTTGGTACTCTCCTTTTCTTGGTAGTGGGAATCGAACTCAGGACCTTGCACTTGCCAAGCAGGTGCTGTGCCACTGAGCTGTATCCCTGGCCCACTAACTTCACTCTCAGTGATGTGATTTTTCACAAAAGAGCGGAGATGCAGAGGTGACGACCACCCCCTCCACCAGCTCCAAGGGGCAGAAGGACCCCAGGCCTCAGGCTCAGAGGGTGGCAGGGACACAGGCAAGGGAGTCGCTTCTGTCCCGGGAAGAGGGCCCTTGTGCCGGGGGCTTCACTTCCTGCCCAGCCTCGGGGCCAGGGCAGCAGGGCTGATGGCTGCATCCCCCTTGAGCTGAGCTAAGGAGGGGGAGCCTGAGCCCAGGCTGCTACCTCGGTGCACCGGGAACGCCCTGGGCTGGGCAGTCACGCTGCCTCGGGCGGGTGGGGGGTGAGGTCACCCTGCCCCTGAGTCACCGCCGGGGCCTGGCTCCCCGCCCGGGCTCCAGGGTTGCAGTGTCCCAACCTCGCCCAGCGCCCTCAAAGCTCGCAGCCCGCGTCCTGACACAGGGCTCCTGCCTGCCTGTGAGCCCCGGTGCCTGCCTGTGCTGGGATGACCGGTGACGGGCCTCTGTGGGACCTGAGCCCACTGCAACCATGGAGTTCCGGGTCACAGTGAGCCAGCCGCAGCTGGAGACCACGGAGAAAGCCGAGGGAGGACAGCTCTGTCCCCACAGGGGGACCAGACCCCAGGAGCCTGGGCAGCAGCAGGGCCGCGACTTACATGGGCCCCAGGCCGCCCTTGGACCGGTCACTTCAGATCCCTGGGGTGGGACACGGCGGGCATTGGCCCTTGTTTATCTTTTTTTTTTTTTTTTTGTCTTTTTGAGACAGGGTCTCGCTATGCAGTTCAGACTGGGCCTGAGCTCACTTCGTAGCCCAGGCTGGCCTCAAACTCACAGTGAGGGGTTGGGGATTTAGCTCAGCGCCTGGCAGGCGCAAAGTTGTGAGTTCGATTCCTGGTACTGGAAGAAAAACAAAAACAAACGAGCTCACAATGATCCTCCTTCCTCAGCCTTCCACGTGCTGGGACTATAGGTGTGCACCTCTACGTCCGGCTGGCCCTTGTTAAAGCTTGCCAGGTGTCCATGCGGTGCAGTGCAAACGGGGATGAGGCCACTTACCAAGAAAACAAAATTCTTGTGGCACGTGGTGCCGTCCACCTGTCATCCCAGCACTGGGGAGGCTGAGGCAGGAGGAGCCACCCTGGGCTACATAGCGAGTGCAAGGCCAGCATCGCCTGGGAGCACACAGTGGGACCCCGCCTCTGAAAATCAATAGTAATAATAAGGATGACAGATAAACGCCTGAGGCCACATCTGCGTCTTGGCACGTGCTTGTCTGTCTGTAGACACCCGTTTGTCCTTCAGACCACACCTCAGACGCCCCCTTGCCGTGAAGCCCTCCTCAGCACTCCCGCCTCCTGTGGGCAGGGACACCCGGGGCCTCAGTCCCTCCCGGCTTATCTCTGGGCGAGGCGCGGGCGGGTGAGCAGAATTCCCAGGAAGCGGGCAGTGGGGGTGACCCAGCACACTGCTTGGGTGGGGCGGAGGGGAGCACGCCCAGCCGCTCAGGGCACAGGCAGCACAGGTCGCTTCTGGGCTCCGGAGCACGGGGACTTCTCCCCGCAGCCGCCGACACCGTGCACCCGCCACGCGCCACGGGGCCGGCCCACGGGCTCCCTCCCTCCCACTCGGGCTGGTTGGTTTGCAGAGTGGCTCGTGGAAAGTCAGAGAACACTCAGGAGGCCAGGGCGGAGTGGCTGAGCAGGGGCGGCCCGTGCAGGTGCGGGGTGCGGGACGTGAGGCTGCTCACTGCTCCCGTGACAGGGCACAGGGCGGGCGTGGCAGGGCCGGGGAGAGGGACCCGCTCCCCGCCAGCGCTGCGTGCTACCCCTCAGGCCGGCAGACCCGTGGCTTCCCGCGTCCGCACAAGGGCAGCCTCCTTCCGGCCGGTTTCCTTTTTTGGAACTGAGCTTGCCGCGTGGCTTAGATCTCGAATGTCCCCCAGGGCCTCCTGTGCTCAGAGGAAGTGACGGGGCGGTGGGCGCTGTGCTCCCCGGGGGTTAATGCACGGGCGGGCTCCTGGCTGAACGTGCCGTGGGGCCTGGGTAGAGCTGAAGTCTCGGTTACTTTTCTCTCGTTGCTGAGACAAATACCAGACACCAAAATGAAGGCAGGAAGGGTTTATTCAGCTCACAGTGTGGAGCTCTCAGTCCATACTCAGCTGGCCCCAAGGCAGGGCGGCACACGGCACAGGGGCAGCTCTTCAAGGCGGCAGAAGACAGCAAAAGCAGCGGGAGCGCAGGGGGAGCAGCAAGCCTCTTCTCCCTGGCATGGTGTATCCGCTGTCCGCCACGCCCACACTGTCTCCGTGCCCTCCTCCTCTGCGAGCTAAGGATGTCTACAAAGGAAGGACCCTGGGCCGAGGCCGAGTCACCCCACTGCGCTTCTAAACTGCTCAGACTGACACGACGAACAACATCCCAGAGCCCTAGGGCAGGTCCTTCTCACCCAGGGTGTGGCAGTGCTGACTAGGCCGAGCCTCTGGACCCCAAGCTGACACAGCGTGTGGACAGCACAGGGGGTCCCTGGGGCGTGACCTGCAGGCGTGTGCTCCTGTCCTCCGCGCCTCCTTTTGCTGTCCGCTCGCTGGCTGCCGTGCCCTCGTCCACGCCCTCCTGCCATGCCGCTGCCCCCTGGAGCCTGCACACCCTGGACCAGGCCCTCTGAAACCGTGAGCCAAGTAACCCTCTCCTGCTTCAAGCTGCAGGTATGGGGTGTTCTGTCCCAGCGACCAGCAGGTGACTGAGACACCTGCCGCGTTCTCATGCCCCGACTTTCCTCCCGTTCGCTCCCCTGTGCATCCTGGTACCAAGGGAGCCGGCTCTTCCTGGCGGTGCCCTGTGTGAGTTAAGAGTGATTCTGGGTTGGCACTGCCTTGCTTTCCCACTTCCGCCCTGTGCCCCTTCCTCTCCGCTTTGCTGAGGAGAAGGCCCAGAGCTGCAGCGAGCAGAGGAGCAAGGCTGGTGGCCCCTCAGCCACCGTGCTGGCCCTGGGCTGTCCTGGTGCCTAAGTGACTGCTGCTCCCTGGGGTGCAACGCCTCACACCCGGCCAATTCCAAACGCCCACGTGGCGTCACTGGAGAGAGCTGGGGAGGGGCAGGCAGCAGGTGCCTGCGCTGTGATCTGTGGTGCAGTAAACTGAAAATACGGTAAATATTTATATTAAAGCATGTAAACCAGGATGGTGGCACGTGCCTGTAATCCCAGTGCTAGGGAGGCTGAGGCAGGAGGATCACCACAAGTTTGAGGTCAGCCTGGACTGCACAGTGAGACCCTACCTCAAAAAAAATTTTTTGTGATGTAAATTTTTTGTAATGTATTAGCAAAAGACACACACAGGCACGTTGCCTTGAATCCCCTCGAGACACTGCTCCGGCTTCAAACGCACTTAGCATCTTGCCTGGGCCATGTGCCTTCTACTCTCCTAGGTAAAAGCACTCGCCCTATTTTTAGATCATCCCCAGGCTCCTCCCCAGCTGCGCGCTGTGGTACAGCGACTAGGAGGCGATGTGTGCATGTATCACTTTTAGCCTAGAACTTTTCTCATATAGTTTAACTTTTAAAGTGGTAAACAGCCTAACAACTGGTTTGCAGAAGGAGGAGTTTCACAATGAGCTCTTGCCGCGAGCCGTGTGCGCCCAATCGCCAGCCAGCCCCGGGCCCAGGGAGGCAACGCGCTGCACCCAGCCCCCGGGCGCCGCAGGCCGGCTGTGCCTCCGCTGCGGACCTGGGAGTCGCCCCTGGTCAGGAAACTCTTGTGGCGCAACCTCCTTCCGCGCCCCTGCGGAGCCCCGGCCTTCCCGCAGGGCTCCGACTGCTCTTGCTCGGTCCCCTGGGGCCTCCAAGGTGGTTTCACCTCTCGCTGGGTCTCTCCGTCCCCACAGGCCACCAGGGCTGCACCGCGCGCCGGGCAGCGGACGGACAGACGCCCGGAACTCCGCAAGCTGAGGCTGCGAAGCTCGATGAGCTCTTTCTCCACGCTCTCCGCACAGCCCTCTGCCCCAGGCCTGGGGACGCCCCGGGTGACCCGAGGCCGCGACAACCCTGTCTCGGCCCCCCAGGAAACGACCGAGACTCTGCTCTGCATGCCCGACCTGCCCCCGTCCACCGCTGAGAGGGCCAGAGAGCACGCGCCTGGCTCGGCCCCTCAGCGCCAGCTACCGCCTCCCCTCCGCTCCTTGCCGGAGGGGCCCCTCTCCCCGGGGCCAGCCTGGCTCCCCCGTTTGTGGGGCGCACGGCTCTGGTTCCTGGCTCTGGATGGCCGGACCTTGTCATTCACTGCTTCAGCCAGTGCAGGCTGGGGTGTGGGCAGGGAAGGTTGGCCCAGGCTGGATGGGGCAGCTGGAGCCACGGCCAGAGGGAGGGCAGCACCCCAGGCCTCGGGACCCCGACATTCGCATGCCACAAGCACTGTTTTGGTCACAGCGAGTGTGACTGGTTTTCCACTGGTGTGCAAGGCCACCGAGTCAGCTCTGAGCAATCACAAAGTATAATTAACAAAGCCAGGCGGGGAGGCGCACTTCTGTCATCCCAGCACTTGGGAGGCTGAGGCAGGAGGACCTCCAAGAGTTCAAGGCCAGCCTGGACTACACAGTGAGACCCTGCCTCTAAAACACCAAAATAGAATGAAAACAAAACTGAAAAGAGAAATCAAGGTAGGAAGGTGGGGAGTGCCCAGAGCCTGCTGCCCAAGCCCCGCTCTGCCCCGCTGTCTGCCCTGTGCAGGGGACAGGGACATGCACACTCCCCTTGGCCCCAGCCGGCTCAGGGGAGCCTGGCTCGCCTTCCGGCCCGCGGCGAAGCCCTTCTTGTTCCTTAGTTTTGTTGGAGCGGTTACTTCCCGCAAAGGTGAATGCGGGGTCCCTCCCCAGGTCGAGTGCTAGCCGGTTTCCGCCCATGCACAAAAACCCCTACGCCGGAGCGGAGATTCTGCGCGCGGCTCGGACGCCACCTGCTGGTCGCCTTCGAGTAAGACCGCATTGAAGGAGGCCTCTGCTGGCACCCGCGGGCGGGGCGGGTCTCAGACTTAACCAACAGCAGGTGCCAGCGAGGGGGACCGAGGGGGGCCGTGCCAGCTCTTGGCGGCCCGCACAAGCCCCGGGCCAGGGCCGCCCAGGGGCCCAGCGCTTCACTGGCCCGCAGATCGCCTGCACGGCACAGGAAAGCATCTGTTCGTCACCACCAGATATTTACCGACACAGGGTGATATATACAAGTGTACGCGCAGGTAAAGGCAAGTACGAGCTGTTTCCTCCACGGAGAAGCGAGGAAAAGACGTAACGGGACAACTCGTTACGCGGATTCTCCGAGTGGGCGAGGAATTGATGAGGGATGTTTAACTCTTTGGTCTTAGACTCTTGTAAGAGGTGGAGGACACCCAGGCAGCTCTGTGCTGCGCTGTGGAGAGCGTCGGCTCCTGTTTTGAGGGGAAAAAAACCCAAAAATCCCAGGTAATTTCGATTTTGCCCACGAGGGGGCGCGCCTCCACTTTCCCCTTTTAATCTTTAAGGCAATGCAAATTAAAACCCCCAAGAGACACCGACCCATCCCCTCCAGAACCCTTAAAGCTGAGACGAACAGCGGCGAGTTAGCAAAAGTAGGGGGCAGCGGGTGTTCGTAGGCACCACTGGAGGAAGCGCAGGTTGTGCGTCACCTGGGCCTGTGGCACACACTGGTAATCCCAGCTCTTGGGAGGCTGAGGCAAGAGGATCTCCATGAGTTCAAGTTCAAGGCCAACCTCTTTTCACTAGGGAGTGGGCCTCCCTCTCCTCCCCCGAGAATGTTTGTTCCAGGCGAACATTTTGTTTTGGCTTTTTTTTTTCCTCCCTTGAATTATTTCTGTGGGGAAAATTTCCATGAGCAGAATGATTTGGCCAAAGAGCCCAGCTAGTTTCGTGCTCTGTCTGATACCCTGCCAAATCCTCCCCCAGACAGTGGATCAGCTCCTTCCAAGCAGCCTTCCAGCTCCCTGAAGTAAGTTGCTCAGAGCCTTTTGACAGCAGACGCTCAAGACTTCCAGGATATAAAGAGCTCCTTCGTTTAGTTTTTGTACAACAAACCGGGCGCAGTGGTGCACGCCTGTGATCCCAGCACTCGGAAGGCTGAGGCAGGAGAATCTCCAAGAGTTCACTACCAGCCTGGGCTGCACAGTGAGCTCAAGGACCCCCTGCACTACATAGAGGGACCCTGTCTGAAAACCACCTAAGTAAGTAAGTACATAAATAAATGAATGTGGTGATTCCCCCTCACACACTGGTCAAGGAGGCCTTTGCCTTTCTTCTCCTCTCCCCGCACCATCCGTGCGGAGGTCTCCCTTCTCCTGCGCCCCGCTGCCTCAGGTCAGATCTGCACGCCGGCCCCAAGGGTGGGTGAAGCCGGGCCCGGCCGCTCTCTGTGCTGTGGGCCGGTGGCCTGCTGGGAGCCTCCTCCTTCTGCTCCCCAGGGGCTTCTCCGCGGGGGTGAGGGTCCGGGTGGCGCTGGATCGAAGCCCGCGGGGCCGCGGGGGCCTGGGACAGAGGCCGGGAGGCCCTGCCTGTCCCCACCCCAGGACCTGGGCTGACAGGCAGTGTGCGCCGTGCAGAAGCCAACGCCAGCGGCCACTTCGGGGGCAGAGGGGCCGGGGGCCCGGGGTCTGCGGCCTTGGGAGCGGCCGCGTGGGTGGGCGACTGCGCAGACGGCCTGTGAGGCCCGCGTGGCTCTGATTTCCTGTGGCTCTGGGACGTCCTGTGAATGTCCTCCACCCGAGCCGGTGACGCGGGGGCCAGGAGCCGCGCGCGCGTGGCCGTGCAGCGCTCGGGGCGAGGCCGGGACTGCATGGGAAGTGGTGTTTGAAGGAAGGGTCTAGGGGCTGGGGATTTAGCTCAGTGGCAAAAGCGCCTGCCTGGCAAG